ATCATATACAGGTGCCTTTATTAGTTATCTAATTCATTTAATAGAATTACATCATTGATATAACAATAATTAACAGACTCGCGATTATAACAGAACAGTACACTATGCTCACTTGCAACCCTTACTCTAATCATCAAAAGGCTAAATCATCTTACTAAAGACTCTAGGTCATCAAACTAAAACTTAAGTTTCTTCTTTGAAAGCGCCAGTCACGTGAGACTACTAGGTCATACCGAGTCATAAAAGGCTTCGATGATTTAAAGAGATCCATCATTTATTGGTTGGAACCTCGCTTATACACAATGAATGATTTGTCATTAAGTAAAATTAAGAGAAAATGTATTATAGAAAATGTCTTTTCCTTGAATCATTTTGTCAACTGAAAAACAAAACGAAAATAATGATTATTTATGCCAGCTGCATGCAATTGTACTTGATGGTGACTCTAATTTCCAATGCGAAGATAAGATGTTGCTTGGCATATAATGCTTGTCAGCTTCTTAGTGAGAGCAGACAATGCCTAGACCACATCCACATCACAACTTATCAACAACAGCAACCTTCTTATTATCTTTTCTAAGCTCAAATGGTATTCGGTTTATTCCTTGCTAATATATACCCTCGATAACGGGGTAGTTAAACTTACTTAACTACCTAATTCTCATTTTATACGGGTAATCATGTCTATAAGACGTTTAGTATATTAACAATTTGTCTCGGTAAAACCCAATGCCCAATTTGCTAAAGAATATTTAGGGCCAAGGGCTGACTCAATAAGTAGCCCGTGGCCCGTGGCCCGTCCAATCTTCGAGCAAATTGGCCAATACTATTGGTTGACCAATCAACAGTCCGACATAACAAGACTAAAATCAACCTTGAACCCTTTTTTTCCAAATTTACTTCTCGGCAGATTGCTTAATATCATCTATACATCCATATAGAGACGTGTATGTTTGTTTCTATATTATTGTTTGCTTCATTGACATTTTATGCTTTAACTACTCTATTATAACGACAAAATGCTACAAAACAAAGTTACACTAGTCAAAATACCTATCACATTTTCATACCAAACTGATATAGATACATAGAAAAGTGAATTGCCACTAATCATCAAAGAATTATGAATATATCTTGTTTCATTTCACATGAAAATTTAGTAAAAGATTTGAGAAACGCAGCATTATGCAAAATGTTAGGTTTTTTTTTTTTTTTTATAGAAGCAAATGACAAGATTGAGAGGGAATCTTGCTTAACACAACTAGGGGAACATGTTGTTCTATTTTGATTGATATATCCAAAAGAAAGTAAATATAGTTGTGTGACATGCCTAAGTCAACCAGAGAAAAGTACATAGAGAAATACCTCTGCCAGCTATAGGAAGAATTGACCTTAATAAAGTATAAACTGTAGCAAAGAGAAAACTAAACTTGAGTCACTGTATTACGTAAAAGAAATTAAAGCTTGCATTTTACTACTTTTTAATGCTTAGCTAAGAGCAAGCTATGCACAAACCCCCCAACCCAGCCTCCCACATGTTTGTCCCTGCTGCTGATTATTAAATGTACGATGCCATATCATTAGGCTCACCTTTCAAGGTAAATTAGCCTGGCTTTTTCACCACTTTTTTTTTAAAAAGTTCCGTACTGTCTCCAACATTTATGTAAAATGACAGATCATAATGGATTAATCAAGGGCATGGCATGTTTGTCATTGCAAGACCACACAGCCCCCGACTTAACTATGGTACGGAAAAAAATAATTTCCGTACTGTAACTTTAATAGATATTTTTATAACTTTTATGAATTATTTTGTAATTAAAAAATTTATTATTTTTATAGATATTTTTATTATTATTGTGAATTTTTTTATTATATTTGTGATAATTATTTTTATTCGGTACAAAAAAATTACCCATTTGTAAATATTTTTATTACATTTGTGTGTCTTTAATAACTATTTTTATTATTTTTTAGAGTACCACAACAGTGATAAAACAATTTACAAAAGTAATAAGGATTTGATCACAAAAGTAATATTGTCAAGCCCAAGGGTCTAACTCACAATGTAAGTGCAATTTAAATTAAAAGCTCAACTTTAAGAGATCCAACGCTCAAAATAGTCTATGCTCGGTAAAACTCATTAGGTTTGAGGACCTACATCAACAGGAGAGCATGCAAGGGTCATCCAAGAACCTCATTCTTGTCACCTTGAAAAAGTTAACACCCACCTCATCCTTTGACCGAATTTCATGGAGAGCAGCATAACTCCCTCGCCCATTGAGAAGAGGTCGTCAGCTCCACTAGAATAATCACTTAGTTACTATTAAGTCGCTCCTAATCTATTAAGAGACAACTATAAATTGTAATTCCTATCAACATTTGGGGGCAGATGCCAATCAATCGAGCATAACTCTCTACTATCTCTTTTAGCTTGTAACTCTCTACTCTCTTTACTTACTTGAAATAATAAAGTATTCGATAACCCTAATCATTCAAAATGGACGTAGATCATATTAACCAAACCACTATAAATCTTATCTTATTTTTGTCTCTATCTCTTACCTCTTAATTAATGCACTTATTATTACTTATCTGACTGGTGGTGTACAAACTCAATTTATGCATCATCTTTTATAACATTTGCGAGTACTATTTCCGTTGTTATAGTACCCAAAAAAATAGTAAAAATACTTATCACAACACTGGTATAAAAATATTTACAAATATGATAAACACTCACAAAAGTGATAAATTAATAAAAAAAAATGGTAAAAATTATAAAATATTATTTAAAATAGTAAATTTTATAAATATGGTACCAAAATTTTTTCAACAGTGTTATAGTCAAGTCCAAGGGATAAATGGAGATATGGTATCATAGTAAACTCCTTAATGCAAACTTTGCTCGCTTCTATTTGCATTAATTTATTGGTTTGACCTTCTTGTATACTCATTTAAAAAACAAAATTTCCATTTGGTCAAAGTCATAGGTTGGGAAGGGTGAATAGATTGCTTTTAGGGGAAATTATAGATGTGCATGAATCTCTCTCAAAGCAACACCCATCTCCCTCCTTGCATTATATCCCTAAATTGAAACCCCAATCTCCACCACCCCCCCCCCCCCCCAAGTAGCACAAGCCTTGTTTACGAAATAAAGCGTTCTCGTCTTGCTTACTTCTATGAAACTTCCAGTCCTTGTTTCCCTCAAAACCTAACCCAGACAAGTGAAAATCAAACATCTTATTAACCCCCAAATGTACCTATAACTTGTTCCTACAAAAAATATTGCCACCATTGCAACCTAGGACAACTAAAACCTACAATAATAAATGAAGCATGCCGATAAATTGAGACCTATATGCGCACACTCATGCATATGTGTATGAAGTTAGATAAGCCAATTGTTTTTAATTTTTTTTTTTTGGGGGGGGGGGGGGGATTTTGGAGGTTTTTGGTTAGGCTAATTTCAAAGGATATGGGGTCTCTAGGGGGGAGAAGACAAATAATGGTGGTGTGCGACTATGTATGGTGTGTTCGCATACTTGTGATTGTGTGTGAAAGAGAAACATGAAGGAGAGATTATACAAGGACGGTATTTAGTATTCGCTTATCTAGTAAGTATAATATAGTAATTCTCTTGTCTTTGCTAGCTCCGGTGGTAAATAAATATAAACAAGGAGAGCTAGTATAATATTAGAGATTACAAAGGTCTCTTTAAAATCGTCAAAAACTAGGTAGACATTAATGTAATTAACCATTCTTTATCTTAATGTGAGAATTATATGATTTTATGTGTATATATATTGTCCTTATCTTTACCGAATGTGTTGCGAAAAAAATCCAACAAGTTGTAGAATTATTTATGACATATAACCGTAATGCAAAGACAAGGGGAAATAGCTAGCTCAAATAATGTATTTTAATCACAAAAAAAAAAAAAAAAACAAATCAATATCCAAAGCCGACCATAGTGTTTTTAAAAATAATTATTCTAATTGGTAAGCAAACACATTCAAAGTCTTGGCACTATATTCAATGTCAAAAATCTCTAATCCATCTTCGATAATGCCTGCCAAGTAATGAGTATACATGTATGTAATAGGCCTTCATAAATAAATATTTATACAAGTGGGTGATTTGCACTTGATGTTAGCCAAAAGGCCATCTAAGTATTTTAGAGGTATATAAATCAAACGGTTAATATTCCTTGTATTACGGGGTTATGCCGTCCACATTATACTTTACTCGTAAAAAAATGTAAATAAAATAGACCTATATAAATTTGACCATATATTATTTATACAATACAGGATTTTGAATAAGTTACAATTGCAGGTAGGTTGAATAAACTATAACATGACACAAGCCCGTTTACGTGATTTAAAATAGGTATAGAGTTATATTATTTGAATATAAAAATGTGATCTAATTTACTGACATAATGATGTGGTTTCAATAGAATCATTAGATCAATATCAAGTTTTAATGTTTGATGGGTCCTACAGTTAATCTAAAAATTATAATTAATTAAATCAATAAATTAGATCAATAAATAAGATTCCAATAACATTACTCATAGGTATATTAGCATGACTCTTCGATGTTGATTAGATACTTCCTGTAGCAAAGAAATTAAAAAAATAATAACCAAATTTAACAGCTGTGCTTGAAGGCAAAATATATTTGAATGTTGCACACGCAAGTGGGTCTGAGCATTCACAAATAAATAATGGAGCCTTATGATAATCAGAAGAGCTGTGGTCCACCATTTGAAACTGTGGACTTCAAGTATGGACGTTGATGCATTCATTGAAATGAAGCCCTAGCTGTCTTGATGGTTTCTCTAACAAATAATAAAGTGCCAACCAGAAAATTTTGTGGTTCACTCTCTGGGTACTGAGCTCATGTGATCATAACTCATAGAGGACAACAACCAATACTAGATAAATTATGACACCCAATACTATTCCAACCTGACAAAGTAAAAGGCCCTTCCAACTATAAATGACAAATGTCCCTGAGAGAGAAGGATAGAGAGAGAGAGAGAGGATGTTGATAAAGAGTGAAGAAGCCATGAAAGAGGAGGTTGTGGAGAAGATGCTGAAGACAGTGAGCTTGAAGCCACACTTTGTGCTCATACATGGAATCAGTGGGGGAAGCTGGTGCTGGTACAAAATCAGGTGCCTCATGGAGAATTCTGGCTACAGAGTCTCCTGTCTTGACCTCAAAGGTGCCGGCATCGATCGATCTGACCCCGACACAATTCTTAAGTTTGAAGACTACAATAAGCCTCTCATGGACTTCATGTCAGCCTTACCCGATCATGAACAGGTTCTCTCTCTCTCCCTCTCCCTCTCCCTCTCCCTCCTCCCGCACGCACAAATGCGTCGGAGATATGAAATGAGAAAAGTCAATCACAGAGTTTTCCATATCTTCAGCAACGTGAACATATATACGGATTTAATCTTGTACCTTATTAATGTTAGTGCAGGTGATTTTGGTAGGACACAGTGCTGGAGGACTAAGTGTGACTGCAGCAACTCACAAGTTTGCCCACAAAATTAGCCTAGCAGTCTATGTTGCAGCAACCATGCTTAAAGCGGGATTCGTAGATGAGCAAGCTGTGAAAGAAGTAAGTTATTATATCAACTCTTGTTACTAATAGGAAAACTGATTTGCATCACTGAAAATATCATTTGAGGTGGGAGCTACCCACCCCGATACTAGAATTCATACATTATTAATTCAAATTTTGACAACTCGTTGATGTCATGTTATGAGGGATAAATTCTTATAAATTTTAATTCTGGTTTGGATGACCTATTTTTGATTTGAATGAGAAGATAATTAGTTAAAGTATGTGTAAGTTGATCCAGACACCTTGATCGTTGAAAAAAAAAAAAGAATTCAAACCTTTGAGGTATAATTTTTTTAAAATTTTGCACAATGAGCAATCCACTCAATCACTTGCTATTTAGATTTACAATTACAATATCTGGAAATCACTCACATTTGATATATGGAAACAAGACAGACTAGAACTCAAACTGTTGAGATAACAACATATATTCGAGGTTTGTATTATAACAACACGTATGATTAGAACGATTCTCCGTTTATTAAAAAGAGGACTGTAACAAGTTTGGTGAGGTAGCTTGTTTCTGGTACAGGCATTGGTGGTATCCATGGCCCATGCTGGTCCCGGCTATTGCTGAACTGCGCGCCATGCATGCTCATTGAGAAGCTTGTCTTGAGAAGTAAAAACAAGAAAGAGGGTAGGAATTTATCGGAGGGTGGGGGGGTGGGTAGGGGCGTTACACTCAAAGGTGGTCATTGGAAACATCGTGCGTCATCGTGATAGTGAACGTATTAGACGGCGAATTCTAATGGTTGCCAACTGGCTTGACATAAGCCTTCTTACTAGGCAAATGCTGTTTGGGCGAACATGATCTCAAATCGACCAATTCAATGCGATCATTCAACTACATTTAACATTAGAATTTATAATAAATTCAATGACGATATTGAATTAAGTCTCTGATTAGATTCCAAATTAGGTGTTTAACTTTCATAAGATTGTTCCGCTTGTTATTGAAAGCCCACTTTGTCAAAGGGCTTGGTCAAACCTATCCAGCCAGTCAGTCAAACGATCCAAAGCAACTGGGCAGAACATTCGGGGATCGGGTCGGGTAAACCCACAAAAATGGGGCAAAAAATTACAATGCATTTGGAAACACTAATAGGAGAAACTTTTTGACTGAGGTATTCATGCAACGTTATTTACCTAAGATAGCGTGTTAGGCGGTGTACACGCACAATAAAAATTATCACAACACTAATTTACGGGACATGAAAATTTATAGTACAACACATGTCTCGTGAACTTTTTATAGAATCCTATTCTTAACTGTACTCAACTTCTCTCTTCATTGTTTTTGAACAGGGAGTGCCTGATTTATCTGAATTTGGTGATGTATATGCCATGGAATTTGGATTGGGAGCAGATCAGCCTCCAACGAGTGTTGCCATCAAAAAAGAATTTCAACGCAAAATCTTATATCATATGAGTCCTCAAGAGGTAATACTGGTAGCTTGCTAGTGTTTGAATTTTTGTGTTTGTGCTTTTTAAATTGATATATTTTTGTATAAATAATGTTAAATATATGATTGTACTTGGTAAATCTCTCTCAATTTAACACAAGCCACAAGGACAAGAATAGCTAATCCGCAAGGAAAAGAAAGAAAAGAGTACACTTTTATCAATACAACGACCACTTTCTCCCCACCTGGTCTCTTTTTTGAGGCCTGGGCAAATGCACTCTACCTGACATCCTTTCCCTTTCTTTTTCAATCTTGAATCCGAACTACTTAGAATTAGGAACGTGTGCGAGCCGAGTTTGAGTCAAGTTTAAAAAATTTGTTTCTTAATTGAGTCTAAAAAATAGTTCAAGTTCGGCTCATTTGTGAAATTAGCCGAGCCTGAACAAGCCAAAAACAAGTTGAGCTTGAGTATTTATACATAAATGAGTCAAACCTATCAAGTTTCAGCTGAGTTTTTAGGACTTGTTTTCTAAACGACCTAAAAAATTGTTCAAGTTTGAGTTCGTTTAGAAAACGAACCGAGTCTGAACAAGTCAAACTCGAGTAGCTCAATTTGATTAACGACTCTACTTAGGATAAACTATGATATATCTTAGCTTGTTGAAATTACCCATATATCAGAGCAATATTAATCCTACATTGCATCGATTTAAATCGAAAAAAACCAATGTTTTAGCCACCAAATTAAGTATTGTGGTTCCCTGCTAATCCAATCCAAGATTGATATATGTATATGCCCTGCAGGATTCTACATTGGCAGTAATGCTCTTACGACCAGGACCCATTCAAGCATTACAATCCGCCAGATTCACCGAGGGAGATGATCAAGATATAGAAAAGGTGCCACGTGTCTACATCAGAACGATGTATGATAGAGTAGTGAAACCAGATCAACAAGAGGCCATGATCAAGAGGTGGCCTCCCTCCAATGTGTATGTATTGGAGAGCGATCACAGCCCATTTTTCTCCGCCCCATTTCTGCTCTTTGGCTTGCTTGTAAAGGCTACTACTGCTACATCCTCTTGTATTGGATCTATGTAACTAGAAGGCTGAGGATCCTATTAATTTTTAAAAACCAGATGTGTTGTTGATGAAGACAACGTTATTTTAAATCAAAACAGTCATTTTATTCAATAGAATGACATTGTTTTGGATCAAAACTATGTCATTTTGATCAACAGCACCTTTGTTATTAAAAATTAACAGTAGATGTGCCAAATTCCACTTTATCATGTGTTTTTTTTTTTAATTTCTTTTTGAAACAGCATATATATTGCAATTTTGTTGTGCTTCGTGAATAAGAGTTACATTATTTTGAAGTGCTAGTAGTTGATTCTAGATTTCAATATTTACATGTGCATTTTTTTTTTTTTTTGGGAGACTGTCAAAATTTTAGATTATTATTATTATTTTTTTTCTGTTTCACATCAAAGGAGTAACAACTATATGCTATTTGGTTTCGTGGGTTGTAGCATATATATTCGTTTATAACCGATGCATTCCAAGTCAATCAAAATGGTTAGGTCCAAATTTGAGATCTCGGGATAATAACACTTGGCCATCATATCCCAAGGGAAAAACAATATGCTTGAAACTTTTGACCAAACAATGTTTTTTTATAACTTGTTTCATTACTTCATAGTTAATTTTGCTGAGATAATTTGAGAGCTGAATGCAAAATGCCGTTCACTGTAATAAGATTAACTTGAAAATTTTCCAATAAGGTGGGGAAACAGAATGCCATTTTTGTGCAATTGTTCAATAAAATAATTTTTTCAGTTTTTCAACAACTGGCCTATTAGCTCAGTTGGTTACGGAGTTGTTCTAATAACGCGAAGGTCGCAGGTTCGAGACCTGCATAGGGCAAATAATAATATTCTTTTTTATTTACCTTTCTGTTTATCTATTATGGGCTGCAATATAGATTCGCGATTTCTCTCTCACCTCGATTTCAACTGGTATGTGGCCCAACCCATTTGTCTATTAAAATCCAAATATTTATATTTTATATTTATACCAATTATTACCCGAAGGCATGATGTGATAAAAAAAAAAGTTAATCGTAAATTGTACTCCGAAAGATTGTTCGAATCTTAATTTGCACCTCCAAAGATCAAAAATATCAATTTACCCTCTCAAAGATAGAAATTTGTATCAATATGCACCTAAAACTAACCGTCGTTAATTTGCTGTCTAAAACTAAATTGATAAATTATACCTAAATCCCCTTATACATGTCATTTAATCATTTGGATCCATTCACATTTAGAATATTACTCTTACATTTCATGACGTTTGTGCACGTATAACACGTAACCCCTTTTCGTTACCATTTGAATGTGTCTAATAAAATAAAGGATTACACATTGTGTGATATATTGTATTGGATATAAAAAAATATTATAAAAATATCTACATTTTATTGGACATTCAAATGGTAAATTTGATTTTGAATTTTAAAGTATATCGGACCCACAAATAAAGGGTAATATGAAATTATAATTTTTTATTATGATAAAATCATATTTTTTAACGATTTTATTAATAAATATCAACAAAAAAGGGTTACGTATTACACATGCACAAATATCATGAGATTTAGGAGTAATATTATAAATGTGAAGGAGTTCAAATGATTAAGTGACAAGTATGAGGAGATCTAGCTATAATTTATCAATTTAGTTTTAAGCGCACATTGATACAAATTTTTATCTTTGAATGTACAAATTGAGATTTTTTATTTTTGGGAATACACATTGATACAAATTTCTATTTTTAAGGGTATAAATTGAGATTTTTTATTTTTAGAGGTGCAAATTGAGATTTAAATGATTTTTCGGAGTGCAATTTAGAATTAACCCTAAAAAAATCAACAATAAATATATTTTTATTCACACTTAAAATCAAATTATAAACATAGAGAAAAGAGAAAAATTTGTAAGCACCAATTATAGTGGGGGGTGAACGATAATAGTGGTGATGCTGGAAGACGGTGATGGTTGTAGTGGGTGACGACAACCATGGTGATGGTGGTGGTGGGGCGATTATGGCGGTGGTGGTAGGCGGTGACAATGATGGTAATGGGAGACAACAAGTGCTTTTGGGCGACAGTGTGATAGATGGTGATGAATGTAAATGTAGTGGGGGGCGTATGACAGTGAATGGCGAAAATGATGACCCAACCCGTTTGTCTATTAAAATCCAAATATTTAAATTTTATATTTTTACTAATTATTACCTGTGCTTGAATGCACAAAATAATAAAAAAAATATCAATAATAAACATATTTATATTAACACCTAAAATCAAATCACAAATATAGTGAAAAGAGAAAAGATTTTAAGCACTAGTTATAATAGGGGTGAGTAGTTATAGTGGTGGTGAACGGTGATGGTGGTGGTGGGTTGTGGTGGTAGGCGGTGACGATGATGCTAATGAAAAACGACGGATACTTTTGGGTGATAGTGTGATGTGTGGGTAGTGGTGAGTGACGATGGTGGTAGATGGAGTGGGGGTGTGTAATATTGGGTGTCGATAGTGATGGGCGATGACGGGTGGTTGTGATAAGTATAATGGGGGGTCGATGACAATGGCTGATAGTAATGGTGGGCGACGACGGGTGATGGGTGCTGACGATGAATGATGGTGATAGTAATATGATGATAAATAATGGTAATAATGAGATAATAATGGTGATGGGTGGTGGTGGTGGATGACGGTGATCAGTGGTAGGCAGTGATAATAGTAGTGGTGGGGGTGACAGTGGCAGTGACGGTGACAATGATGGTGCTAATGGTGATGACCGTGGAGGCAATGTTTGGGTGATGGGGGTGGTGGTGGTAAGGATGATGGTGGGATAGTGACAATGGTGGTAGGGATAGTGACAACGATGATAGTGGTGATGGTGGAGGTGATAATGGTAGTGGAGATGATGGTAATTGGGATTGGGGGTGGCGATGGGGCTGTTGGTGGTGGCATAGTTGTGGTGGTAGGGTGGTGGCGGCGGCGATGATGATGAACGGGCAATTTTAAACACTATTTTTTTAAAATATTTATAAAAAATTATAATTCACAAAAACATTTTTAAAACTCTCCCCCATTTTGTTTTTTTGACCAGTTGACCTGCATCTACTTAGGAGTCAGGCCACTAGCTCATTGGCGGATGGATCAGCCCGGCCCAATGCTACCCCTTCATACCACAATCTGGTTTCAATTTCTTATTTCTTTTTCCTATTTTTTTTTTGGTGAGTACTTCAATTTTACAGGTTTGGTGCGCATTTTTTTTTTACTCAAGTAATAATAAGGGCTAGTTGTAAATTTAAATGTCATAAATTTGAATTTGACAACTTTTTAGGGTCAAACTAAATACTTCATAAATACCCTATTTTTAACGTAGATAATTTATTTTTGACTAAATTAAAAAATAAATTAATCAAAATATACATAATTTAATCGAAACGGTAAAACTAAAAAAAAAGGTGGGTGTTTGCCAATTTTATACCTTATTCTCCCCTTGTCCTCTTCTCTCTCTCTCCAATTGCACAGGTTTGAAATGAACACAAGACATGGGATTGTATTTATTAGTACACATCATGGGCAGTACCGACACCCTTCAGCTGCGCAACAACAGGTACAACATTTTTTTCCCCCTTAAACTCAAGAGAAAATTGAATACAAGAGAAATGCGAAGATGTCCATTAATTATTTTTATTTCAGTAATGGTATTATAATCTAAAAAATTGATTTAATTTATCGATATAATAATGTGTCGAAAAAAGTCTAAGAATTTTCCTCACAATAATATTTTTAGACCACGTCACTATCATATTATTAAATCAATAAATTAGAACAATTTTTTTATGATACAATACCATCAACTTTGTTTTATTTATACTTCAACCCCTTGAGACTGAACAAAGCTAAACCATATCACTCCCGGCCGCCATTTCAATTCCATTGTTATGTGCCTTGTGATTTCCATTGGCTTCACTCGTACCGCCATTTCCACCACCAAGATCCTTATCCTCGCCGGAAATTTCTTCGAGCGACCGGCCATTCGTCTCCGGCACCAGGAAAGTAAATAAGAATCCGAGCAAATTCACCACAGAAAGTGCTATAATTGCCCGTTTGATTCCTTCTGCTTTTTGAGTATAATTCTGTATCAAAAATGCCCCAATTATTGCTCCTGCTTTTCCAGATGCTGCTGATATACCATGGCAGGTTGATCGGAATCTAGCCGGGAAAAGCTCCGCCGGAACAATGAACGTCGTGCTATTCGGACCAAAATTGGCGAAGAAGAGAGTCAATCCAAAGAAGAGGCCGAATAAAGTCTTATTACCGTCACAAAAATCGTTCAACGAATCTTTGTGCTTAGTGTCCGCACACGGTTTGCCTCTGAAAGCTTCGTATTTGACTCCAAGAACCAGCATGAAAATGGACATTAGGAGGAATCCACCGAGCTGGATTACGAACCGGCCGATTCGATCGATTAGGAACACAGTGAACCAGTACCCAGGGACTGTTGCGAAGAGTGCGACTAAGAACATTGCTTTGGAGATGTGGAAAACCTCTTCAATGGCGTTCATGGTTGAGGCTTTATGTACGAATCCAATTGCAGGATAAATATCCTTCTGCGCAAGTTGGAGACTGTAGAAAGCTATATCCAACAAGAACCAGGTACTAGTAGTTCCCAGAAGATGACGTCCGTGCCTTTTAACGAATTCTTTCGAAAATAATCCATATGAAGTTGACTCCATCGGAAGCTTAGAATTTGATTCTTCTACAAGTATGTCTTTTTCGAGGACTTTTGCCATATCCGCAGCTGCCTTCTGGTGGTTTCCGGCGACCAAGGCGGTGTATCTAGCGGTTTCCGGCATCTTCATCCGCCAGTAGTAGGTTAAAGCCGCTGGAACTGCTCCGAACATCAGTACAATCCGCCAAACAAAATCTCCTTGTGGCTGAGTGGACAAAACAGCATCTGTATTGAAGTTATGAGCTGGGTAAGCAGCCATGAACGCCTTAGAAACGATCATGGCCACAACCCCTGCAAACAAAATCCCCACTCCTTGCATAGCAAACACGGCGGCGATGAACGCCCCTCTGGTTTTTTGGTTGGCGTATTCCGACATGATCACGGCTGAAAGCGGGTAGTCTCCTCCGATGCCAAACCCCAGCCAGAACCTGAAGACGTAGAGGTAGCACAAGAGAAAATTGACTTACATAGTTTAGACATATTAGTGAGAAAGAGTAATTTAATAGTGGCTTTGTCGCATTGAGTTAAGTTGAATTAGAACCTGAAGAAGCATAGGCAAGCAATCACACTATGAGCTGTGGAGCCAAATGAGAGGCCTGAAGCTATGGCACACCCCACCATTGTGACAAGGGTAATACCATAAACTTTTTTCCTCCCCAATTTGTCTCCAAGCCATCCAAAGAAAAGTTGCCCTGCAAGTGTTCCACATAATGCCACACCGGTTATGGCGTTGTTGACATTTGTTGGGAGTTTTCCCGGTTTGCCTTTTGATGGATCATAGTAGTATAGCCGTCCTATAAGCTTTGTGACAGCACTGATGCAGAAGAGATCGTAAGCATCAGTGAAGAATCCCATGCCGGCGATGACAATTGCTTTAAAATGGTAGAGTTGAGTCTTAGCATTGTCGAGAGCTGAGAAGACAGCTCGGGTATTATCAGCCATGACTGAGAATAACGAGCGTGGGATGAGGAGGTCTATGAATGATTTAGGTTGATATATATAAGGTGTGTACATTGAGTGGCTAGCTGTTTCCTTGATGCTCTGTTTTGTTTGCTACTTCGACAGCTATTGATTGGTCAAACTAGGAATTGCTCTTGTGCCTAACGACTTGTTTGAAATGTCGTTAACACCAAGATGCTGGAAACAAACCGGGAAAAACATCGAGGTTCTTGGCTGAGCAGCTTTTGCCCCCAGGTGGTCAGGGTTGCCTTAATCCACAAAAAAACACAGACTGGCGCATGGAAATCCCGCTATTGAAGGTATGTAGAGAGTTATATGTACACAATTTGTATCTCACATTTAGACAAATGGTATAAGTAACGTCACTCGAATTCGGGATGTCCAAATTGTTACATGTAACTACAACATCTAATTGGTCGGCAGTATGTCCTTTTGTATTGCTTTTTTGACTGTTATGTGATGTGTTTGTATTTATATTTTCCTTTGGGACTCTGCTGCTTGCATTTTACTGCTTCATTCAAATAGTACAATCAGATTGCTTGCGTTAATTTTGATGAATTTTGAAGTATTGTGGCTGGGGCTAGTGTACTAAAACAATAGTTTAATAGCCCCATCACATTCTTTTGTGACGTGGGCTCGCTATAGTAATCATGCCCCTCACCAAAGTTTTTGATTGTGTAATTGCCGAAGTCATTATAGTATATGGTTTGTTAAGTGTTAACATTAACATGTTTAGGCGTAGGAATTGACGGGCATCATTTCTTTTGTTTGTAGAAGTCAATTACGTTGGATTGTCTGCCAATCTAGATTTTATCCCAAGAGACATTCTAGGAAACTGGAAAGTCGTAGTAGATATCGAGTTTATAGATTTCTTCACTTGTTTTATTGTTTGTTTATAAGCTCCTCAAATCAGTTAAAGTTTAACTTAGTTCGAGAATATTCTGTAAATTCTCTAGACAAGAAAATTATTGATTCTCTGCTTGTTCTCAGGGCCGGCCTAATGGCAAAGCCATTGAGGTTGCCGCTTAGGCCCCCAGTTTCGAAGGGCCCATTAATATGTATAAAATAGGACATTAGTTTTGCCCAATAAAAAAAGATTAGTAGACTCAAAATAAAGTTTTAGAAAATATAATTGAATACATACCCTCTCTCTTCAGTTATGTCCTGCCAATTACTACACAAAAACATCTCTCTCTCTCTCTCTCATATGTGTATATATATGTATATATGTGTGTGTGTGTGTGTGTATCTGGATCTTACCAAAATAAAAGTTTTGATCTTAAGGGCACCTAATGATCAACATAACCCCTCTTTGGAGGGATGTTGGGGGTGGGGGAGAGAGAGAGAGAGAGAGAAAGAATGCTCATGTATCAGTATTTTGATACTAAAAACCTACAAAAGCCATAAATTGGACATTACTTGAGGATGAGAGTAAAAAGCATACATGGTGTTGAAAGCCTTTGCAATAGATGCAGTTTATTATTTAATAAACCTCCCTAAATCAGATGATTTCTCAAACTCAGCTCACAGTTCCATGAATCAACAGCTTCAAAGCAATCATGGGGTACGCATATTGGAGTCCTTGGACCTGTTGTCTTCAGAGGATAGTCTATTCTCCAACTCTGAGTGTCGAATTTCCTCGATCAGTCTAACAACTTCATCCATTGTAGGTCGCATATCTGCAACCTTTGCCACACATGCAAGAGCAATCTGAAGCATCTGCACCAACTCTTCTTCGACGTTTTGGTGCTTCATCAGCTCGACATCAAAAACTTCAGCTGTCCATTCCTCCCGGACCACAGACTGGACCCATCTAGGTAGATCAACTGCATCATCATGTCCTGAAGATTGGAGAGGTGCTTTGCCGGTCAGCATCTCAAGAAGGAGAACACCGAAGCTGTAAACATCAGATTTCTGAGAGACTTTCCGGGTTTCAATCACCTCTGGAGAACAGTAACCTGCTCCTCGAGATTTGATAGCCAGATAATTCATCAGAGGAATTAAGCCAAAATCAGATATACAACCATCAAGATCTCTGGTGAGAAGGATGTTAGAAGACTTTATGTTGCCATGGCTAAATTTAACACCACCCTCAGAGTGGATGTGGGCAATCCCCCTTGCGGCTCCAAGTGAAATCTTCACTCTTGAGTCCCAGTCCAGTTGAGCTTTTCCTAAACTTCCATCACCTGATAATTATATAAACCTGTGTATGAGAGAGGCAGAAGAGGGGGAAAAATCATTGGAAAAGAGATTCAAGAAAAGCATACCATGCAAGCGTGCAGACAAGCTTCCGGCTGGCATGTATTCATAAACGAGAAGCTTCTCGTCCTTGGAATAGTAATAAGCACGTAGTGGCACAATGTTAGGGTGCCGTGCAATCCTTCCCATTACCTCCATGTGTTGTTCAAACTCCTTCTTCCCAACCCCTACTTCCTTCAACCTTTTCACCACCACCGCTGTCCCCTCATCCAAAATAGCCTTATAGGCAGTTCCATAACTCCCCTTCCCAAGAACTTCAGCTGACGCCCTTAACAAATCCTCAAGATCAAAGTTATAGGAGCATCCTTCAAAAAATGCCAACTTGTTCTTCTCAGCTTCTTGCACCCCACTCCCGAAGTCCTCAGGTTTCTTCGTCCTTCCACCATTTGAGGCCTTCCCTCCTTTCAACACACCAGTGGCATCAGTGTCTTTCTTCTTCAAACAGTGGAACAAGATCACCAAGACTAGAAGAAGTAGAATTGATGAAACCCCAAGCACAATGGCAACGATAGCACCTGCACCAAGTTTTTTAGAGGAGCCAGCATTATGTTTTCCTGGGACTGGAGGTGGGAATGGCAAGTAATCTGGAGAAGGTGAAGGGGATACTGTGGAGCAACTATTCAGAGGTGGCCCACATAAAAGAGAGTTCCCCATGAATGAAGAAATTGGAAACTTGTGAAGGGAATATGGAATTGAACCATTTAGCAAGTTATGGCTCAAATTGAAAAGCTTAAGCCTTGGGAGGTTGACATCTGGGATGATTCCAGAGAATGAATTGAACTGGAGGTTTAACACAGCAAGCCGTGTCAAATTCTCAATTGTGGATGGAATGTTGCCAGTAAAAGAATTGAAGGAGATATCCATTATACCAAGTTTAGAAGATATAGAAAGAGGAACATCACCAGAGAAGTTATTATGTTGAAGATAGAGGGATTGGAGGGAAGGGATGGAAAGAATATCAGAAGGAAGATTTCCACTGAGGTAGTTAGATCTTAGGCTCAAAACCCTGAGTGCATCTAGCTTTCCAATAATGTTGTTTGGGATGGAGCCATAGAGTCCAACACCAGGGAGATGGATCCCGGTCACTCTGGTTTCATCCTCATTGCAAGTGACGCCTACCCAAGAGGTGCAGACTGGGACAGCAGAATTCCAGTTGAGTTTGCGAGTATGTGGGACTGCACCAGCAAAATCAAGAAGGGCCTGTCTATCCGAGTCCAAGTCAGCAATAATTACCGGAAGAATAGGCAGTAGGAGTAAAATGGAACTGAACACTGCTGTGGATTGAAGGTCCATGGGATGCTCTATTGCCAAAAGATGAATATTTAAGCACAAGTTCAGCAGTTCTTGTTCCTCTCCTGGCTCAAAAAAATAAGAACTGTGAAACAAAAATTGGTCATCTTGTATTTGAAGGAAGTAGCAATGAATGATCTCAATATAGGTTCATTCTGTTTAATTTCAATCATAGGAAGAGCAATCTGAGATTTGTGATGCTTATCAAACGGATCATGGTGTAATGTGTTAGGAAAAGTAAAAACAGCAAGTAAAAACTGAAATAATTTGTTACAAACATAGAACAGGAATTAAAGAAGCCCAAAAAAGCCGATAAAGAAAAGTAAACACAGATACCAAAACAACTTCACCGAAAATTTGTTTATGATGGAGGACAAGTAGTAAGAAAAAATGGTGCTCACAATAGCTGGCAAGAGGCATGCTGAACCAGCAATAGGCTTTCAAGAAAAATTACGGGAACATACAGACACAAGCAATAAGCTGAATAATCATACTTTGGTGGACCAAAATTTCTTCTGATATAATAACTTGTCCACAGAATGACTGATTTAACATCATCATTTTGTTCATTAAAGGTTAATATTGCTGGACCTTAGCCCAGATGCCAAGAGCAAACAGACCAATTTAGGTTCAATCTTTAGCAATAAATGATGATAGTTTCTTTATACTTTTGCCTGAATTTGATTTAACAAAAAAGACATTCTTTATCAAACTTTTCATGGTAGAAAAGAAGCTCATTAAAATTCCTTGTCACTATATTTAAAAATTCTTTAGTACACAAAAAGTTAATAGAATTTTGGTAATTATTACTAGCATGGGACATTATTAAGAAAAAGGTTTGTTGTTTAGTCCATAATAACAATTGAGCCAAGGTTTTTTTGTTTTTGCCCAATGCTTCATTTCGAATGGCGTGGAGGGATATATCAGTTTATGATATAGTTCAAGAAAGAATCGTCTCATTTTCTTATTTCTTCGTTCTTTCTAATTCATTCACTTCAAGACTGGTTCTAAACTCAGCGTAACATCATCTTTAACCAACTTACACCGTACGTACCTTTTTGGTGCGACCACTAAAGAATTGCTTATACACTAAACAACTACTTATATATGCTTACTAAAAGACCGACTTTCATTCATTAGGCCAGCGTGAAACTAAGAAAGTCAGTATACATCAGTATAGGGCCCAAAGATCTGGCTTTAATAAGCTAAAGATTGCTTTTATCAGCCGACACAGTAAAACAGATGCCCACTTCCAAAAGAAACTCCTATTTTCAGATGATAAGCATAAACAGATTGATTAGATCAGCTTTAAAGGTTCAAAACCAAGGCTTGAAGGTTCCTCAATGAATAATAAAATTTAAGAACAAAAATTGTTGTTGATTGACCTTTACACAGTGGAAAGATAGAGGTCACTTTAATGTACACATCAAATATGTTCTTGCAAAAACTATATAATTATAAGTTCAACCAACAATTACAAAAGTAATCCCACATTAAAAAGCTAAGTGATTATGGAGAATCCAAATGAAAAAAGAAAAAAGATAATAAAGCAAAAGTAAAAGTCCAATTGTTCCTTTGCTCTTTAAAAAGGAAGGGTATTCTATGCTGGAAAGTGGTCTATCAGGACTACTTATGGAATGGTTTTCACTAATTTGCGACGATCCCATATCCCGAGTGCTGCCTTAACAGCCGGATGTCTCAGTTTTAAGGGAGACTACCGAGCTCCACAATAAGCGCCTATCATCTCTATGCGAATTCTGACCTTAGCTTTTTGTATAATGCAAACATTATATGATTACCAATCGTGAACTAAGAATAGAACTAGATTAGATGCTTAAAAGAAAGGCACCCAAAAAAAACAAAGACAAATACACACACAAGAAGGTGAGGTTGCAAATGATGCATCCATCAAGTTATTGAGAAGCAAGCACAAATTAGGAAATTAGCTAAAAATTACATGGTAACACAGAGAGAGAGAGAGAGAGAGAGAGAGAGAGAGAGAGAGAGAGAGAGAGAGACTCACAGCCTAACAAATTGGCACTTTGAATCCAAGCAGAGTAAACCCAACAGTTGCCGTAGGGTCTTCAAAAACACTGCAAAAAGATCTGAAAACAAAATGTAAGAATGATCAAAATTTATAGATAGTTCTATGCATTCCAGATGAACAGATAGATATACATATATAATGTGTATTTACTTGCATTTTTGTATTTGTGTGTAAGAGAGAGGCATCTAAAAAATTAGCCGTTGGAACTTCAAACCGTGAAGTTAGTAAATTTTGAAATGAAACCCCCAACGGCAAGCGAAACTCTTGACCTCTCTCATCCGTTTGCAGGTTGGAGGCTCGTTAAGAACTTCTCTGAATTCTCTAACACATGAACACACACACACACACTCACAGAGAGGGGGAGAGAGGGAGAGAGTTTTCTTATAACGGCAATGTCGGCAAAGCCATTAAAGGCTTTAACAAATAAAAAAAACCAGTGGTATGGTCTTACTGATATCAAAAATTGTCAAACGAAATAAATTCTTCTTGAAAACCCATAATTCATAGGGAAAAAAAAAACAGAAAAAAAACCACACACCCATAAGCAGCGAGAGAGAGAGAGAGAGAGAGAGAGAGAGATGGGTTTACATACTGAAAGTTAAAGAGCAGATAGTGAGGGGGTTGAGCAGAAATGCAAAATGCAGATTTTGTGTGTTCGGATTTCGGAATTTCAGATGCTCTGTCTCTCTGTCTCTCTCTCTCTCTCTCTCAGATTTGTGCGTCGGAGTTGAGCCGTTGTGGCCTTGCTGTGGTTGAGTTCGCATCCTATGTAGTATGTAGTGTCCAAACCGTTATTAGCTTTTAATGGTCCCACTCTATCTCCAATTTTAATTATGACATAGACAGTCATTAATTACGCTCCTCCCTACCTTTGAAAATTTTCCAATTTTGTTGGTACATTTATTCGGTTTTCAAGTGCATATTAATTAATTAATTAATTTGAATGATTAGGTATACGTGTTTTTTTTTAGAATATTGGCACTAAAAATTATGTAAAAAACAGCATATGTTGACAACGAGAATTTTTTTTTTGGAAAAATGGAGCTATTTAAACTCAACTTAGACTTGACTCGTTTAACTCTATTAATATTATTTTTTAAAAAAAAAATATTTATATTAAAAAAAAGAATGAATATAATCTAATTTGAAGTTCATTTACTGTCGAAGTCAAACACATATAATATGTTGCATGAATTACATAACGTCTGAGATTTTGAATTTGAGCTTCATACTCTGTTTGAAATAATAAAAAAATTGAAAGATGAAAAATTAAAAAGATGAAAAATTAGAGGGATAAATAAAATATCATATTTGGTAAGGAAGGAAAATAGGAATGATGAAAAAGTGAATGAATTAACTTTCCTTCCAACTCACCAAAATCAATCCCTCTAAAATCGGAAGGAAAGTGGATGAAAAGTTAATTATTTGTATTGAGATGTATCTTATTTGTCTATTAGTTATTGTCTGTGCCTAAAAAGCACAGAGTAATAAAAAATAGTAAATAATAAATATATTTGTATTCATATCTAAAATTAAATCACAAAACATAGGGGAGAGATAAATGAATTTAAACATCGATTGTAGTGGGGGTAAGAGATGGTGGGCGACGGTGGCGGCGGTGGTAGGAGACAGTGATGACAGTGGCGGCGGCGACAACAGTGGTAGTGGTGGGGGTGGCGGCAATGGTGGTAGTGGTGGTGAGGTGGAGGCAGTAGTGATGGCGACGACAGCGATAGTGGCGACAACGATGGCATGGGTGGTGGCGACAGCGATAGTGGTGGTGGTGATGGCGACGACGGTGGTAGAGGTAGTGGTAGTGGAGGTGGTGGTAGAGGTAATGGTGAGGCGATTTCAAACACTATTTTTTTTTAAAGTACTTATGAGAAATAATTTTTAGAAGTACTTTTAAAAAGTTACTCCAAACACATCCTTAAGACTCTATTTTTTTTTATTAAATTTAGGGTATTAATATTAGCTATTAGATTAATTTTAAAATAAAATTTAAAGCGATCTGAACTGCGAAAAGTAAAAATCATTTTGTTTATCTTTTAAAATTTGAATTTTAAGCTACTTTATTATATAGATATATTGTGTATACATTAATTTCATATAAAAATATAATAATAAAATATGTATTTATATATATATATTTTTAAAAATAAATATAACTATAAATTTAAAAAAAAATAAAATTAAAAAAAATATATTTTTTTCATCTTGACTATAATTAAAAATTTTCAACTCAACACGATTTAAACTCGACACGAATTTTATGACACAAACTTGATTATAACTCGACATAAACTTGAAAATAACTTGACACGCAAACAAAAAATATAAAAAACTCATAATTTTATAATTCAACACGAATCTGACACAAAACGAGTTGATTGTCACCCCTAATCTTAGCCAGTACAAAAAAAAAAATTAGTTATTTTTATTTTTCATCCATCCAACCAAATACAAAAGAAAAAGTGTATTCTTTCTACTTTTCATCCTTGAATGATAGAAAGTGTATCAATCCTATTTTTCATCTTTTCTACTTTTCATCCTTCTTACTAAACGGAACATCATTGTTTGTGTTTTTTAAATTTATTCTCGTCTTACTTTTAAATTGACCTTGAATAAGGTTTAAAAAAGTCATTTTTTTTAACATATCTTTATTAAATGACGATGTACAATTTTTATAAGTAAAATAAGGACGCAAAAGATCCAACAGAAAGAAAATTAAATAAGACCTTTTTTCTTTAATTTTATTTGAAAAGACCTTTTATTTTCCGGGCTTAGTGAGTACTTAATCGGGCCTTTTTTTCATTCCAATAAATTATAAATAAAATAATTTATTTTATTTGAAAAAAAAATTGTTGAATAACATAAAAATAAAAGGACTTGTTTTGAGTCTCTTACTTTATTATATAAAATCAAAGAATCATTTATTATTCTTTCATCTTTTTAGGGGAACAAAACATTAAAACTATAATTTTTTACCCACAATACGCTTTTATTTTATAATTTCAATAATTTATTTTAACAAGCCGTATATGTCAAAAGTTGTGATAGGAGGACATCCACCAAAAATGGCAGCGAAATAGACGTGAGAATGAATTCTAATTTTATAAGTCAAATTAACATTTAAACAATAATTGAAATTCTTATCGAGCTCAAAAAATCTTGAATATATCAATACTCAACTCTCTTTTCGATTAAGACCCCTGTACAAACTTGTGACATCCCCCAACTTACCAGATACGATGCATTGAATTTTTTTTATTTTAAGTACAATGACAGCCAAAAAGCAAGATTGAAAAATTGTTAACCAATGTTGGGTGTGACCAACCCAATCGAACAACACCACTATCACTTTGGACGGATGGTTTTAGAGTTTCTCACATTAATTTGTCCACACTAGATTTTTACTTTTTTTTTTTCAACGGTTAAAAATGTCTGATTTAATTTACACGTATTTCGATTAATTTTTTTTAATTCAATTAAAAATAGACCACATAAGAAGTTGTAAAGAGTTAAACTCAGGGCGTTTGAGTTTACAATCGTCTACATTACTGTTTGAACAATCGCATGAGGATAAATTTTTACCATCTTATTCTCTTTTGTAACGTAAAATCATCTTAGTCGCACGTGTTTTAAGTTATAATTATAATATTAATTCCGACTGTGTGTAGTCAAAGTAAAAAAAAAAAAAAAAATTAAAAAAAAAAATTAAACATACTATTTTGAGATGTTACTCCACAAATTTTTACATCCGAAATATCCAAGTCGTCGGTTATTTTATTTTAAATCCTCACTACTCCTCCAACTACCAAAGGAAAGTCCCTGTAGTTGTCACATTTACACTGAAAAAGTAGTTGAAAAATGACAACTAACTAAAACAGCTCAAAGTAAATAGCTTATGGGTAAGACTGTGACCCCCATGGCCTTGCCCTTATTAATACAGCGACATGTCCACATTTACCATTACAATGCCAGAAACAATGGCGGATTTATTATGGGGCAACTGCCCACACTAAAATTTTAAAATTTTTTGAAATCTAGGTATAATTTTAAAAATTTCAAGAATTTTTTAAACTTGCCTCTACTGAATTTTTTTTTAAAGTATGAGGTATATTAATATAATTATTAACCTTTAAAAGCTAACTTTTAGTAGTTTCACCTCATTTTTTACGCCTGACAATTGACCCCAGTGAAATTATAAAAAATTTTGGGACCTAAGTATAATTTTAAAAATTTCAAGAATTTACCCCATTAAAATTTTCTTAAAGTATAGAGTATATTAATATAATTTTAAACCTTTAAAACTTAATTTTAGACAGCTCCTTTTCACACCTACTTTTTTTTTTTTCGTAAGACTTCGTCTTCTTTGTCTAGACTTCCGGTCCAATCCAGGTGTCCAGCCGACAACCCATATTCTTTCTTTTATTTAGTTTATTTGTTAGTTCCTTTGGTGTATTCATCAATAAATCAACCTATTAAATTCAACCATTGTGTAAATCAAATTTGAAGAAATCTTAGAAGATTATGTTGAAGTTAAGGAGAGATGTAATCCATTAACCAAATTTTTTTATAATAGTACTAGCACTAATCTAAAATCAAATTTTATATATTAGAAGATTAGTTTAACTCTTGTAGAATTTATGGTTGTTTGGTGTATTATTTATGGACTTATGTAAGTTTTTTTTTTTTTTTTTGTCTTGGGTCTCCACTCAACTATTTTGGATTTTTGTTAAAACCCATGTTCAAATTGGCTATTTGAGATCCCTATTGCTATTTTTCTTTCCTATGATTAAATTGCTTTAATTGATTTCTTGAAATTTTAGTTTGAATATATGGATTATATTTTGATTATGTGTAGTTCATTATCTCATTTGTTACAAATTTAATGACGAATTTTTAAACTTGAATTTAATTAGACAAATTTATTTTTCAATCAGCTATGAATAGGTTATTCCCACTACGATAAAATTCTGACTCCGTCCCTAGCGAAAAAGAGATTGTCCGAAGGAGGAGGAGGAGGAGGAGAAGGAGGAGAAGGAGAAGGAGGGTCTACCATACCATGGGACTTCACTGTGTGTTTCTATGAAGATTATTCTGATACAATGAACTAAAACTGGTCAATGCATGAATAATGAGTGGTCTGATTTACTCTAAATCCATCATTTCTTCTCAAAAACAAAGTTCAAGTCCATCATTATTTGTTGGCACGTTGATAGATTGTTTTCATTTAGTGCGTTTTGTAAAGTTGGTTTTAATTTTTAAATGATGTGCTTTAAATTATTGTAAGTGTTGAATCCGTGGTTTCTTTTTTTTTTTTTGTTCAACTATCAAGGATATTTGGGATAAAGCTGATAATCGATCTGAATTTTGTGAGGTTGAATCGAATTTATCGAGTTTATTTTTTTTAAATGAGTCTAAAAAATTATTCAAACTCGGCTCGTATAAAAAATGAGATGAGCCCAAACTGAGCTGAGTACGAATAACTTGACTATTTTACATATAAACGAGCTAAATTTTATGAGTTCGAGCTGAGTTTTTTAGGTTTGTTTTTTAAACGAGTTTAAAAAATTGTTTAACTTCAGCTCAATTATCACAACTAAAAATTGTTCAATTCTCCAGTAGCATGATTAGGTGTCAAAAAATTATAAGATTCAAACCCAGAATTCCAGTAGCATGAAGTCTTACCCCACACGTAGTTCCATGGAATCG